GCCATGAGCTCGTTACCTACAGTGGATACAGCACACACTGTTCACTGCTTACCCAGAAGCCGCTCTCCCCACTTTGTCTCTTGCTCATGGACCTACACGTTGCCCAGGATGGCCGCATTCCAGACCAGAGGGTGGCCCAGGATGACTGCTGGGATCCTTTGCCAGATACTCACTTTCCCAGAATCCCTAGCAGCTTGGGGTGGCCATGGAATCCAGTTCTGATGAAGGAAACAAAAAGCAAAGTCCTAGGAGGACTTTCTGAGGAAGGTTTGATGTCCTGGGGACAGCGACAGCCAGGAGAGGAGAGCTTGCTCACTCTGCCCCTCCCCTGCCTCAAGTGCACCCCTGGTCCCTGGAGCAACTGCAGAGGGCTTGGAAAGATGAAGGCTATGAATGGCGGAGGTGAGAGGCTGAGGAAACAGAGCCCTTGGTGACACGGCTGAGCTGCAGGACCAGCCCCAGAAATGCCTGCCCTGGGAATCTCTGGGTAAATAAACATTCCATGTCCTTTTAGTTGAAGCAACTGTTAGCTGAGGATTCTGCAAAGCTGCACAAATGCCAACAGCTGTTTGCTCTGCCTGGGGCCAGACTGTATCCACTGATGTGGTCACGGGGATTATCTCCCGCCGATCAGAAGCTCTTATCAGCAGCTCCACGTGCCTCTCAGTAACAAGAAATGGTCAAATGAACTGCTTTGCAGTGAACGCACTTTGTCTGGTAGACAGAAATATTTCCACATATGGAGCCCCTGGGGGAAGAAGCGACGCATTATAAAGGCATCTTTGGTGACACAAGAAGAAGGGAAGGCTGTCATCACCCTGCCGGGCGCGCTGTGCTGGTCCCAGGCACTCGTCTTTGAGCTCTAGCTCCGTGCCTGGCACTGTGCATGCAGAAGGGGCTAACTGATTGGGGGGGTCAGGAAGGACCTCGTGGAAGGGGCCATATTTCTGCTGACCCCCAGAGTCATGAGAGTCAACCCGGAGTGGAGAAGGGACTAGAAAGTTCCAGAGAGAGAGAAGAATAACACTCAGTCCTCCAGACAATCCTGTGCGACATACATGAAAAGAGACTATCGTTTCCATGTGTGTCGGCCAGCATAGGCTAGGCAATGCCATGGTAACAGGCAACCCAGGGATCGTTACAGGTTTAACAGCGTGTTTCCCACTCATTCTTCTACTAGTACATTCATCACAGGCGGACGGGCGCTCTGCACACTGTCATTCCTCAGGAGGCCAGGCTGATGGAGGCTCCGACGAGACCCATGCTCCACATCAGACACAAGGGAAAGAAAGCGTGGCGGGGCCTCTGTAGAGCTTTTCCCGGAGTGTCAGTGTCACCTCTGCACACACTGCAGTGGCCGGAGCAGATCACAGGGTCACAAGCACAGGAAGGAGCACCAGATAAGGGCGGTCAGTGGCATGTCCCACAACCCACTGTGCAGATGGGAAAGCGGGGGTTTAAAAAGAGTGCAGTCAGTTCACAGTCCCTTGGCTGCAAGGAGGCAGAGCAGGGATTGAAATGAGGGTTTCTAACTCGAAATCTTGGGTCAGAGAACTTTCCACTCTGATCAGAGATGAAATAAAAAGCCCAGCAGGTGTGGAAATGCTAGAGCAAACAGTGGGTGTCCGAGGAGAGCCCCGTTCCTGCGCATCCTGGACTCCTCCGAGTGCTGGCACCCTCGGCAGACTGACGGCCACGGCCCCCACCCAGAAGAGTTTCCTCTGGCAGCCTGGCCAGCAGAGCAGAGTCTGAGCCCCCAGCGCTGATCTAAAGCACCCGAACACGACTCCTCTTAAATCTGCTGCTCTGAAACCCAGGCATCTGCAGGGCTGCGCTGCCAAGATGGGCCCCGCCCCTCCACAGGCACCTTCTTCTTGGAACAGTGGGCCCCGGGTTTTCCCAGCACAGAAGGCCGCTGCCGCCGCCTCGGCTGGTTCCCAGCTTCTCACCTCCTCGGGGATGAGCTGCTGCTTCCAATTTCTTAGATCCCAGCAGCATCTTCCTGGTCCCTGTCCCTGATCCAAGTCTGAGACCAGGTAATCCTCACAAGCACTGAGACATCTGTGAGGCTCGAGCCAGACCTTGGCTAAGCTCTGCTCTGTGCTGGCAAGCTGTTCCCTCCTCCTTACAGTCAAGTCGAATCAAAATACCTAACGTGCCCCCATTAGCTCTTCAATGATCCCTTTAAGATGGCATAAAGGACAGTAAAAAGGTGAGAAGCCTCTGAACTAAATAAATTCTGTCTCTGAAATAAACCCAACATTGAACCCTGCATCCAACTGGTCAGCAAAGTCTGATGGCTCTGCCTTCACTATACACCCGGTCCGACCACGTCTCGTCCCCACCAGAGCCGCAGGTCCGGGCCACCGCCTCCTCTCCGTGGCGCCTGCAAGAGCTCCCACCTGGACCCTGTTCCCTGCTGTCTCTGCCCCTTTAACCAATTCTCCACGTAGATTCAACCACTTGGTCAGAGCAAGTCACTGGCCTGCCACACGCCTACCCCTCTAACACCCCCCCGCCCCGACACCGTCCCCCTCGGCGGAAGCTCAAGCCCGGAGACTGGCCTTGGCCTCTCGTGGCTGTTCCTGTGGCCCATCTGGCCCCGTCCTGACCACCCCCCACACCTGGTCAGTCACATTAACCTCCAGGGTGCCCGTGGCCACTCTAGGCACGGCCTGCACAGGGGCCTAAGCATTGCTATTCCTCTTTCTGGCACATTCTGCCCAGTGCAAGGCACACCCTGACCTGGGAGCCTTGGCGTGTGTCCTTCTCTGCGGGGTGCCGTCCCTCTCAAACTGAGCCACTGCCCCCAGCCAGCCCTGCGTGCACTCCCCTCTCCTCCCTGGCTTTGTTTTTCTCAGAGCACCTGTCACTGCCCAACGAAGAGCAGGTCTATTGATACGACGCTCAGTACCCGCCGCGCCCACTTGAACAAAAGCTGTGAGGCCCTAGCCCAGCGACGGCGAACCTTCTGAGCTCGGCGTGTCAGCATTTTGAAAAGCCCTAACTTAACTCTGGAGCCGTGTCACATAGAGAAATTTTTTGATATTTGCAACCACAGTAAAACAAAGACTTATATTTTAGATATTTATTTTCTATATTTAAATGCCATTTAACAAAGAAAAATCAACCATAAAAATGAGTTTGCGTGTCACCTCTGACACGCGTGTCATAGGTTCGCCATCACTGCCCCAGCCAGTTTGCCTCAGTGGATAGAGAGTCAGCCTACGGACCGAAGGGTCCCGGGTCCGATTCCGCTCAAGGGCACGTACCTGGGTTACAGGTTCCTCCTCAGCCCAGGCCCTGGTGGGAACTCGTGCAGGAAGCAACCAATCGATGTGTTTCTCTCCATCAATGTTTCTCTCTGTCCCTCCCTAGATCTAAAAATCAATGGAAAAATACCCTCAGGTGAGGACAGGGCTGTGGTCCCCACCTGCTCGCTGCTATGCAAATACCCCTGAAGGGACAGCACCCAACCAAGGAGGGAGCCTCGTCCGTGTTTGCTGAACCTCCGTGAGCCTGGGAAGCAATGACGCAGTGCTCTCTCCGGAGCCACACAGAGCTGGGTTTGGATCCTGCTCTGCCACTGGCCCCCTGGGATCCCAGGGGGAAGTTGCCTGCTACCCCTGAGTGTTCCTTTCTCCATGAAACAGACTCCATTTTCCCAAGGTTTCTTGTGAGGAATGAATGAGATCATGCCTATGAAGCACGTAACACGGTGTCTGGCCCAGAACGCACACTGAGAACCGGCAGGAGCTATGCTTAGTTACCAAGGGATAGCGCGGAGACGCCACACGGCTGGGTGGGCGCGAGGGGGCCTCCTGGGCTCGCTCACAGCTCAGTGCTGGCTCCGGCACGCGGCCTCGCAGGCCCTGAGATTCAAACTTTGCCTCCACCAAGTTACAAATTATCATACGATACGGGTCCTCCCAGACTCGGTCAAGTAGTCCAACTTACAAGGTTAAGCTTCAACATGAAGGCTTCCTGGAATGTTAATTGACGTTAGAAAAAGAAGCAACGCAGTGGGAAATGGTGAGAAAGGCTTGGGGAAGATTTGTAGAATGACAGACTTTCCACCAGCTGGGCCATACTACATACCCATCCTGATCCCTCTGCAGCATGCCCCTCCTGTGCCCTGTGCGTGGCTCTAAGCTCTCGGTTCTCTGGTCTCAGCCTGCGCTGCCCCTAGCATTCCAGAACCCCAGCGCCATCCCAGCTCACGGGCTACCCCCGGATTTGCAGGGATCGCTCGACTTCAGATGGGCCACCTTCGTAAAACCCACCCTCAACCAGGACAGACGGGAAGCAGAATCCCCAACCCCAGCTGCACCCTGTGTATGAACACCCCAGACCTCCTCCCGGGAGCTCCTTTCCTTCAGTAGCAGCCGGATTTAAATTGCAACGTGACCCTTGCCCTTTCGCAAGCTGGCCCGGCACCCACAGGCCTGCAAGCCTGTGTCTGTTCCATCATGGCCACGCGGGGTTTTCTGCGGTACAAGTGAGGCCGTAGGTCAGCGTCCTGGTCGGGTGTGAGGCTTAAGAGCCAGGTGGCCCTGCCATGTGCACTGGCTGCCCCCTACCTCTGTGTTTGCAGACAAACCCAGAGCCTCCATTTCCGCAGGAGGGAGGCAGAGCTGGCCACAGTGCTCAACACTGTTATAAAGGACAAACACTGTATGCAAGAGCCTGGCACAGACCAGACCACTGGTGAGCTGCAACATTACCATTACCTTCTAAAATAGCCCCTCGTTCTCTCTGCCCTTCTCCTTCTCGCGCCTGGACTAGAGCAGAATCTGCACAATGGGCTCCCTGCCCGTCTGCCCCTTCACATCCTTCCTCCAGGTGCAGCCAAAGAGACGCTGGACACATGCAGGCACTTCCTTGTGTAACTCTCCTACCAGCTGCAGAGGAGAGCGCACTGCCTGTGCATGCGGTGCTAGTCTTCCGCATTCTTGCCGAGGACTTACCTTCAGGAGCCCCTGCAACGTGCTGCCACCTACCTCCTTCCACAGGTTCTTCCGTGCACAAGCAGCCGCCGAGCAGCCCCTCCAGGGGAGGTCCCGTGCCTGGCTGAGCAGGCGGAAGTGAGGCGGAATGGTAAATTCCCGGTAGCCACCAAGGCCACAGGTAAATGCCCAGGTGCCTGAGGCGTCCCACCTGCAACACAAAGGAGCGCAGGGGAGGGGTCAGTCCACCACAGGTGGTCGGAAAGCAGGAGGAGGCGAGGCTGTGTGGCTGTGGATGGCACTAGCCCCTCCCTGACAAGGCCAAGGATTCATCAGAAAGGGGAGCCTTCCTCCGAGGAGAGAAGCAGCTTTTAATTAAAGGGAACCTGTGAGGCAAATCACTCCGATCAAAAGTGCTTTGTTATTCGGATGTTGTCCTGTAAAATATGTGAGGAAACAGAGCCAAACAAAGGCTTGGCTCTAAACACATTGATTAACTGAATTAAAATGAAGGGCTCAAGTAGGATTTAACCATGTCCTGCTATTGATCCAAAGTCGGAAATGTCCTCCGCGGGTTCCCTTTCCTCTCCTGGGGCGAGAGATCGCTGTCCGAGCTCTTGGCTGCAAGCAAGGGAAGGGCTCTGACTGACAGAGCAAGGAAGAGGATATTTAAAGCCATTAAAGGATTGGGGTGCATAATAGTTACGATTGGAAAAACTGCAACTCTACAGCACAGAAGCCTGGTCGTCACCACCTTAACCAGTCACCAAGGAAACATCACAGGGAACGGGAGAGGCCACCACCACCTGGTGCGATGCTCCCAGGAGGACGCCCGGCACCTCTGTGCTGAGAACACATGGCATGCCTAGAGTCACCAGGAGACTCCAGACTGGGCACCTCGACAGAATCAAATACCTGTTCTTGCTCTTAACAACAGTCAAGGTCATGATAAAAAAGACATACTGAGGAACCATTCCAAGTGGAAAGAGACCAAGCACATATGACCGCTTCGTATCGTGAGGGGTCTTAGAGTGGATCCGGGACCCGAGAGCAGTGTTTTTCCCTTTTGCTCTAAGGAACATCGGTGGTTCAGCTGCAGAAATTTGATGGAGGCCCTCAGGCTGGGGCGATAGGAATGTATCATGCGCACTTCCTGACTTTGAACATTGCACTAAGGGTGACACTGGAAAAAGTCGAGCAGAGAGAAGGGCAGCTCAAAGACCTGCAGAGGGAGCTGGGAACCCCACTGGAGTTCAAGCTCCCAGGAGCAGCCCCCTCAGTGGCCTGGGAAGGACACCACCACTGCAGGGCTTTGGATGGGCCACAGCCGTGCCCTGCTGGGACCCCAAGGCCTCCACTGCAAAGGCGCTTCCGCACCAGGACCTTCACCTGCTCCCAGGCCCTCCCAAACCTGTGTGCTTCTGCCACCACTTTCTGCAGCACCATGGGTCACTGCAGGAGTGAGATTTCTCCTGCTGCTCACTTTCGGATCACATGGCTCTTGACTGGCAGGTGGTCATGATCGGCACAGCTGGAAAGTATAGGTGCTCTGAGTCCTAGCTGTAAGGGAGGCTGTGACCTTGAGATTCCTGGTTTCTCCGCTGTCGATGTGAAACTCACGAGGCAGGAAAAACTGGCAAACACAAAGAGGGTGGCAGGCCACCAGAAAGCACAACTGGTGTCTACCGGAAAGGCGAGGACTCTTCCGCGGTCAAATTATTTGATTACAAAGTCGGTCTTTACCCACCCAATTCGTAAATCCTCATGTTTGTCTGGTTGTCAAAGTTTGTAAAATATATTTCAGCTTACTTTGGAAAGTCATAAAATATGGCTAAGGCAAGAGGCAATGATAGCTCATAAATTCTTCTTACTGTTTATTCATTTTGGGTACAGCCAGGCTCAAGCTGGCCCAGTTTAAAGCAAATTCTTCTTCCTTCCTCGCTGGATGTCTGTTCTCTGCGAACTATAAAAGCTATTAGCGGCTGGCATTTTTTGAGGCTTCTGAAGTGGACATTACGATTCATCGTCTTCTTTCGGCAGAAGTTTACAGCACGCTCGCATCAAATAAAAATGCTCTCGGCCTTTTCTAAACATAAAGCAACAGGGAGCCCTGTCCATATTTCAACACACGGGAGCTGTAAAGAGAGAGATGAAGAGGTGTCTGCACGCAGAGAGAACAGGGCGGTCAGCGGCTCTAAAACCCCAGCGCTGCTCAGAATCGCCTGTCGTGTTTGCTGGAACACCTGAGCTCCGAGCCCCGGAGGGCGTTTCACAGGGCTGTGCTGGGGTCTGGCTTCTGCACTGGCAGCAAAGTCCCCAAGCTGGTCCCAAGCTGTGGGGCACAGACCCCACTTTGAGAAACTCCGGAGGGAGGAGCAGGGGTGTAGCAAGAATAAAGGCAAGGAGTGGGGATCTTTCTGGTGCCTTCGAGGAATTGCAACCCTTTCAGAATGGGCACCCGGGGAGGTGAAACGGAAGGTCACAGCTGGGAAGGGGGGATTCCTGCATGGGACAGTGAGCCTCCACGGAGAAAGGACGGAGACACTCCTACGCTCACCGCTGACCAGGGTCCCTCGGTCAGTCCATAGAGACCACACCCCCGGGCCTCTGCAGTCCCTTTTCACACTTCATTTATTTATGCATGTATTTCTCTTGGCCACCTTTGCACTGACTGTTTAGCCCCCACCTTCCATTGTCCAGAATAAAGACTAAGGTTCCCACTCCAATGGCCTTTCCCCTCCCCTCCTGCCTTTCGCTTTAGAAGGCAACGAGGCATTTTGGTGCCCAGCTCCAGGGCAGCCTCCGGGAGGGGTGGCGTCTCCCCTCCTTGGGTCCCCACACGTGACAGAAACGCATTGGGCTGACTCTGCATCAGAAGCCTCTGGCCCCTGCCGCCCTCGCAGCTCTCTCCCCGGATCGATGGGATTAGTAATGGCTGATTTGATTAGTGCAGCTGCAGCCTCCTTTTATTACTTTCTCATTTACAATGAAATAATGGGGAGCGAGCAGAGGGCTTTGTCATTCCCGAGGGAGCCGATGGGGCTGGGGCAGGCCATTGCTCGTCCCCGCCGCAGCCCTGACCTCGAGGCAGACGAGGAAGTCGCTGCCTTTCCCGGAAAATCGGGGCGCGTGACAGTCTGTGGATCCCAACGGGCAGTTGGGACCGAAAGCCTCAGCCTCGGTGCTCCCAAAAACCACCCAGGGGCCCTGAGCCCACAGCTGCCTCTGCCGCTCTCCCGTGCGCCCGGACAGGTCGCTGGCCCTGATGGCTGACTCCAGGCCTGGTTCTGCACGTGAACCTCCTCTGGAGAATTCCTACCGCATGACGCCCAGGTGCCAGCCCAGCAATTAGGATTCCTGGGGTCTAGGTGGGGCCCCAACCGCCCCTCTGTAGAATGATGGCCAGGCGATTCTGGCGCACACAGGTAACCCTGGGTCCGAGGCGACCACCACCACCCTCACATATATCCTGCCTGTCAGCTGGGGAGAAATCTCACCAGTGCCCCCAAAATGCCACACCTTTTTCCACCTTCATATTCTATCTGTGCTGTTCTCCACACGAAGGATCTCCTTTTCCTCCTCCACCTCATCCCTCCTCCACCTGGGAAACTCCTCCTCACTACAAAAGGCCCAGACAGCCAGGCCAGTGTGGCTCAGTGGTTGAGTGTCCACCTATGAACCAGGAGGTCACGGTTTGATTCCCAGCAGGGCACATGCCCCAGGTTTCGGGCTTCATCTCCCAGTGGGGGGGGCCTGTAGGAGGCAGTCGGTCATCTCTCATCATTGATGTTTCTATCCCTCTCTCCCTCTGCCTTCTTCTCTCTGAGATCAATTTTAAATTATTTTTAATAAATAAATAAACAAAAACTTGCTTGTTTCTCTAGGTACTGGAGGCAAACCAGGGCATAAAATCCCATTTTACACAGATAACAGGCCCAGGTGGTTAAAATGCTCCTCTCTGTTACATGTGAGGAAACTGAGGCCCAAGAAATTAAATGACCAGGCAAAGTAACAGCCCCAAGTGCAGAGCTGGAGCTAGAACCTGGGTCTCCCTCCGCGGGCTTCGGGCCACATGGCTGGCTGAGACCAAAGTTCTCATAAAGGCGGCAGCTCTGAGCCCAAACCCGCAGCCACCTTGCCCCAAAGGGTCAGTATCACTTACACCCACAGTTTCTCGTTTCTGCCTCCAAACTCCCAGTGTGCGCTAGAAGGTGAAGTGGCTGGTGCCAGGAACTCAGGCTTTGGCATCAGGTTCCACCTCTTACCAATTACGTGACTTCAGACAAGTGCCACATGTACCCAAAAGGCAGGAAGACGCTATCGGAAACTTAAACTGGCAGAACTGTCTCGGAGACGTGGGGACACTGCGGGGAAGGTCTGGGTGCTCTGGGAGGGGCCCCGTCATGCAAGGCTGCAAACCTGGCCAAATTGTGGGGGGCTTCCCCGAGGGCGGAGCATGGGGAGAGGACAGAGTGAAGGAGGTGGTCGGGAGCGGGACCGGATTTGAGCGAATGGGACACTTGGAGCCATCCTTCAAAGGTCTTGAGAAACGCCTGGCAGCTCAGAGGGTCAGAGATGTGAGCCAGGACAGATATAAGGGTATTCAGGGCCGCACCCTCTAAAGCAGTGAAAAACCGCAGGTCAGCGAAGGGAGGACAAAGGACGGAGCACAGGGCAGCAGGCCCGGCACGGAGGAGGCCGTCAGCGCCGTCTTTGGGAGTGCACACGACGTGGGAGAAATGTTGCATAAAAAGCGAGGGATGTGCCTGTGTATCCACCAGCGGACACACATTCATGACGGGAAAACTGGGAGGAAACAGCACACCAACGTGTATACATACTATCACCGGTTCTATCTGGAGATATGCTTACGCGTTTTAAACAACTTTCAGTATTTTGTAAAATTTCTCCCACAGATCATATTTTTCACATTTACTCACTTTTATTCAGGGAGAAAGTTCATTTTGAAAAGAAAAAGACATTTTCACCAAGATGGTGGGAAGTGAAGACAGAAGCCATTGCCCCTCCCCACACTAAAGCCAAAGCCAAGGCTCCGAAGGGCAAGAAGGCGTCCACTCAACCACAACAAACCCGCACATCCCCGCATGCCAGCAGGTGAGCACCAGACCCAAAGGGCACCACCCACCAGGCTGGTGTTGCTCAGGGTGAGCGTCAACCCATGAACCAAGAGGCTGCCAGTTCAATTCCCAG